GGTAGATTAGCCGTATCATTGATGCTGGTGTCTCGGTGTCTTACAGTAAGGGTGACATGGTAGATTAGCCGTATCATTGATGCTGGTGTCTCGGTGTCTTACAGTAAGGAGTGACATGGTAGATTAGCCGTATCATTGATGCTGGTGTCTCGGTGTCTTACAGTAAGGAGTGACATGGTAGATTAAGGCCGTATCATTGATGCTGGTGTCTCGGTGTCTTACAGTAAGGAGTGACATGGTAGATTAGCCGTATCATTGATGCTGGTGTCTCGGTGTCTTACAGTAAGGAGTGACATGGTAGATTAGCCGTATCATTGATGCTGGTGTCTCGGTGTCTTACAGTAAGGAGTGACATGGTAGATTAGCCGTATCATTGATGCTGGTGTCTCGGTGTCTTACAGTAAGGAGTGACATGGTAGATTAGCCGTATCATTGATGCTGGTGTCTCGGTGTCTTACAGTAAGGAGTGACATGGTAGATTAGATGTATCATGATGCTGGTGTCTCGGTGTCTTACAGTAAGGAGTGACATGGTAGATGAGCCGTATCATTGATGCTGGTGTCTCGGTGTCTTACAGTAAGGAGTGACATGGTAGATGAGCCGTATCATTGATGCTGGTGTCTCGGTGTCTTATAGTAAGGAGTGACATGGCAGATAGCCGTATCATTGATGCTGGTGTCTCGGTGTCTTACAGTAAGGAGTGACATGGTAGATGAGCCGACATCATTGATGCTGGTGTCTCGGTGTCTTACAGTAAGGAGTGACATGGTAGATTAGCCGTATCATTGATGCTGGTGTCTCGGTGTCTTACAGTAAGGAGTGACATGGTAGATTAGATGTATCATTGATGCTGGTGTAGTCTCGGTGTCTTACAGTAAGGAGTGACATGGTAGATTAGCCGTATCATTGATGCTGGTGTCTCGGTGTCTTACAGTAAGGAGTGACATGGTAGATTAGCCATCATTGATGCTGGTGTCTCGGTGTGATGCTGGTGTCTCGGTGTGATGCTGGTGTCTCGGTGTGATGCTGGTGTCTCGGTGTGATGCTGGTGTCTCGGTGTGATGCTGGTGTCTCGGTGTGATGCTGGTGTCTTTGTGTCTTACAGTAAGGAGTGACATGGTAGATAGATATCATTGATGTATCATTGATGCTGGTGTCATCATTTGTGTCTTACAGTAAGGAGTGACATGGTAGATTAGCCGTATCATTGATGCTGGTGTCTCGGTGTCTTACAGTAAGGAGTGACATGGTAGATTAGCCGTATCATTGATGCTGGTGTCTCGGTGTGATGCTGGTGTCTCGGTGTGATGCTACAGTCTCGGAGTGACATGGTGTCTCGGCCGATGCTTGATGTCTCGGGTGATGCTGGTGTCTCGGTGTGATGCTGGTGTCATGGTGTGATGCTGGTGTCTCGGTGTGATGCTGGTGTCTCGGTGTCATTACAGTTTGCTTCTTATGTTATTGTTTGTTTTGCTGTTTTACGCCGCCCTCAGCAATGTTCCAGCTGTGTGACCATGGTCTGTAAATAATCCAGTCTGGACAATCCAGTGATCAACAGCATGACCATCTCTCTACGCAATTGGAGACCGATGACATGTGTCAATCAAGTCAGCAAAGCTGACAACCTGATCCCGTTAGTCGCCTCTTACGGCAAGCAGGGGTTACTGAAGACAAATTCTAACTAAGAAATTCACGGGTCGCTTCTTATGTTAAAATTGATGTGGTAGAAAAGGGTTGTAACTGAGAATGATTTTGTAGCATTACCGGTCATTGAGAGATGTGCAAAAGACTATGACCTAAGATTACTCTTTTAATTAATCAACTAGATTGTTTTAAACATGTCCGGAAACTGCGTCATAATGGCCATCCAACCTCTGCTCCGTGCTGCAAGCGTGCTTGTGTCTTTTTATCAGTGTGGCCGAGGTCCAGTTGTTGGACCTTCAGTGTTGTGCCCGTCCTCCACCTAATGCAGCATTACCTCACTGGTTAAACATGGGCCGGGTACATTGGGAATACGGGAAGGCCATCATGAAAGGTTGGTTGATGTTCATGATGTTCGTCAGGCCTTGACTGACCACTGTAGGATCTTGATAACCTTACTGTTCGTGACTGACCACTGTAGGATCTTGATAACCTTACTGTTCGTGACTGACCACTGTAGGATCTTGATAACCTTACTGTTCGTGACTGACCACTGTAGGATCTTGATAACCTTACTGTTCGTGACTGACCACTGTAGGATCTTGATAACCTTACTGTTCGTGACTGACCACTGTAGGATCTTGATAACCTTACTGTTCGTGACTGACCACTGTAGGATCTTGATAACCTTACTGTTCGTGACTGACCACTGTAGGATCTTGATAACCTTACTGTTCGTGACTGACCACTGTAGGATCTTGATAACCTTACTGTTCGTGACTGACCACTGTAGGATCTTGATAACCTTACTGTTCGTGACTGACCACTGTAGGACTGACTGACTGAGTTTAGTTTTACGCCGCTTTTAGCAATATTCCAGCAATATCACGGCGGGGGACACCAGAAATGGGCTTAACACATTGTGCCCATGTGGGGAATCGAACCCGGGTCTTCGGCGTGACGAGCCAACGCTTTAACCACTAGGGTACCCCACCGCCCCTATATCTTCCGATAACCTTACTGTTCCTGTAGGATCTTGATAACCTTACTGTTCGTGACTGACCAACCGTGACTGACCACTGTAGGATCTTGATAACCTTACTGTTCGTGACTGACCACTGTAGGATCTTGATAACCTTACTGTTCGTGACTGACCACTGTAGGATCTTGATAACCTTACTGTTCGTGACTGACCACTGTAGGATCTTGATAACCTTACTGTTCGTGACTGACCACTGTAGGATCTTGATAACCTTACTGTTCGTGACTGACCACTGTAGGATCTTGATAACCTTACTGTTCGTGACTGACCACTGTAGGATCTTGATAACCTTACTGTTCGTGACTGACCACTGTAGGATCTTGATAACCTTACTGTTCGTGACTGACCACTGTAGGATCTTGATAACCTTACTGTTCGTGACTGACCACTGTAGGATCTTGATAACCTTACTGTTCGTGACTGACCATTGTAGGATCTTGATAACCTTACTGTTCGTGACTGACCACTGTAAGACCTCGATAATCTTACAATTCATGATTCACAACTGTAGGGCCTTGATAATCTTACATTTCATGACTGATCATTGTAGGGCCTTGAGAATATTACATTTCATGACTGACCACTGTAGGGCCTTGAAAATCTCACTATTCATGACTGGCCATTGTAGGGCCTTGATATTCTTACATTTCATGACTGATCATTGTAGGGTCTTGACAATCTTACCTTTCATGACTGATCTTTGTAGGGCCTTGACAATCTTACTATTCAGGACTGGCCATTGTAGGGCCTTGATATTCTTACATTTCATGACTGATAACTGTAGGGCTTTTATAATCTTACTATTCATGACTGACCCCTCTAAGGCGTTGATAATCTTACCATTCTTGCTGGATCACTGTAGCGGGCCATGTGTACAGTTACATCCTATGTCACTAGCGGACGTACATTATGTCGGTAATAACGTTGGTAGATCTCATCATGAATTTCCTTCATGAGTGGGTCTTAACAAAACTGCCATTGTTGCCATATCAGCTGCCTTCAACATGACTGACATCCCCATGAGAAAGGTTCTGATTCCATGTGGGTCTCTATCTGTGACCGACTTGCCATGTTTCCACAGTCTGATTGAAGATCGATACTGTGTCTATTGAGGGCAAACTGTTTATGGAAAGGACAAGCTTATTTGCAACGTTACGTCTCGTATTAGCTGAACAGATATATCCACTGATTAATGCATTGTATTGTATTCTGGTCGTCGACCTTACCTAAATCGATTTTTGGAGGGATTTGTATGGCTTTTTTCATGTATCAGAAAGCAGCACTAATATGAATTTGTTCAGCTATCTATTAAAGACTACTGCATCGCCAGCAATCAATGTGTCAAATCTCATCAATTTACAAAAAAAACAGACAGACAGACAGAAAGACAGACAGATTTATTACAGTAGAAGGCCTCGGGCCCAAAATACAGTGTTGCAATCGATTGATAATTTACATTGCATGCATAAGTTTAGTTTTAAAGTTCACGAAGTTAGACGACGTGCGTTGAACACTTTGTACAGGAACATAGCTGTAGGTTGGATTGTTTTTATATCAGTGGATTGCAGGAGCTGAGCGAATTTATGCAAAGTTGTATTTTCAAAGAAATATTGGTTGATATATGTTTTCCGTAGATGGTGATACTTGGGGCAACACAGGGGAACATGGTATTGATCTTCGATGAACTTTGCATTATTAGTTGTGCACATTTCACATAATCTTTGACTGCGAGGTATATTTCTATGACGACCAGATTCTATTAATAAGTTGAAGTTGTTGCAACGGAATTTAGCTATATACTTGACAAGATAAGGCTGGATGTCACATGTAAGGTACTTTTCAACATCAAGGGGAGATTTAAACATCTTGTAGTTGCAACATTTAAAGTTGTCATGTAGGGATGAATGCCAGTCCTGAATTAGATTATCTTTCAGTCGCTGCTTAAATTCCAAGAAGAACAGATCAATGTTTCCCATGTCTTGTTGTATCCACACCTGTCCAAATCCCAGTTTAAAGAGTATATTTCTAATCTCAGAAGCCCACGTATAACGACCTGTATCAGAGATGGATTTAATCATGTAGTAGGCTTGGTAGGGGAGTCTTGAAGGTTTCAGATGGATAAGTCAGCACCAGAATTTAATTGCTTTTGTCATATAAGTTAGCTGTAAGTCGGTTTTGCCACATTCCCCAAGGGCCATATTCCCCAAGAGCCAAACATCAAATTACGGATTTATTTTTCAAACAAAGATAGTTCAATTACAGTTTTTGTGTCAGTGACCATGTAAGTTAACACTCCGTTATTGTTGTACTGTTTCAGAGACTAAATGATCGTCGTTACAATTAAGCGGAAGTCCACGATGAACGAGGAGGATGGCTACCGGAAGTGGGTCGTCGTCATGGCCGCCTTCTTTACACAGTTCATAGTGTGCGGTATCACGTACAGTCTCGGCGTCTTCCACGTCATCTTCAGGGACATCTTCCAGAAGAACCACTTCGACACGTCATGGGTTGGGTCGGTGCTGCTATACGTCACCGCTCTCTCCAGTACGTCAACCCATGTCTGCTAAGGGACCGTTCATAATTTATGGATAGGGGGGTTGATGATGATTTTAAGGGGGCTCACCCATTTTGTTCTGGGGAGGCAGGGGGAGGTATCAATTGTGTACACATGTACTGGGCGGGGTATTTTTTAGTAGTATTTTTTAAATATGTGGATAAAAAATATAGGAAGTGGGTGGGGGTGTGTCATTGATTTTGTACATGACATGCAGGGCGGGGTCACTTAATTTCTACATAAATATTAGAGGGGGTCATTCACTTTGTACATGCCTCTCCATGAAAATCATCATCATCCCCCTAGATTGTGAACGGTCCCTAACAAACTCTTTTCACATTTACGAGTCATAGCATTGATTTTTAGACACGAAATATTGTTCAAGGTCTAATGAAACTTTTGTATTCTGCTATTCTGACTTTTTTCTCGTTGCTCCCATTAGATCAAACCCACTGTGCAGTGTTGTGCCACATGCCAGGATATGATGATCGCTGGTCGAATTCCAAATCCACCCTGATTACGAACCTTGGTTTGTTAACGCCATGCCCGTGCTTGTTGGCAGCGAAATGCTCCAATTCACATTTGATGTAACTGAAAGTACCTTTCAAAACGGAAAGTACTATTAAAGCAAACTCGCTGACTCATGTTATGCTACTATGTTGTAGGTGTTATGCTACGGTTTGTAGCGAGTATGTGGGGGTGCCGTGTCAGCGTCATGGCCGGGGGGCTTCTGGCGGCTACAGGGCTGTCGTTAGGACTCTTCGTCAATGAACTGTATCAAGTGTATCTCACTTTCGGACTGCTCACAGGTAAGTTCATCAGGCGTTATCCTGAAACTTATTCAGCTTTGTATTGTGAAGCGGAATGGGACGAATGTAAGGCTGAGGGTTGTCGAGGCTGTAAGACGAGCAATGATTGGTGGGGCAGTATTTGAAGACTTGTAAGGGTGTGGGGCAGTATTTGAAGACTTGTAAGGGTATGTGGGGCAGTATTTAAAGACTTGTAAGTGTGTGTGAGGCAGTATTTTGAGACTTGTAAGGGTGTGTGGGGCAGTATTTGAAGACTTGTAAGGGTGTGTGGCATTATTTGAAGACTTGTAAGGGTATGTGGGGCAGTATTTGGAGACTTGTAAGTGTGTGTGAGGCAGTATTTGAAGACTTGTAAGGGTATTGGGGCAGTATTTGAAGACTTGTAAGTGTGTGTGAGGCAGTATTTTGAGACTTGTAAGGGTATGTGGGGCAGTATTTTGAAGACTTGTAAGGGGTGTGTGAGGCAGTATTTTAGAAGACTTGTAATTTGAAGGTGTGTGGAGGCAGTATTTGAAGACTTGTAAGGGTGTGTGAGGCAGTATTTGAAGACTTGTAAGGGTGTGTGAAGCAGTATTTGAAGACTTGTAAGGGTGTGTGAGGCAGTATTTGAAGACTTGTAAGGGTGTGTGAGGCAGTATTTGAAGACTTGTAAGGTGTGTGAGGCAGTATTTGAAGACTTGTAAGGGTGTGTGAGGCAGTATTTGAAGACTTGTAAGGTGTGTGAGGCAGTATTTGAAGACTTGTAAGGGTGTGTGAGGCAGTATTTGAAGACTTGTAAGGGTGTGTGAGGCAGTATTTGAAGACTTGTAAGGGTGTGTGAGGCAGTATTTGAAGACTTGTAAGGGTGTGTGAGGAAATATTTGAAGATTTGGGGTGTGTGAGGCAGTGTGAAGACTTGAGGCAACATTTTGAGACTTGTGGTGTGAGGTGTGTGAGGCAGTATTTGAAGACTTGTAAGGGTGTGTGAGGCAGTATTTGGAGACTTGTAAGGGTGTGTGAGGCAGTATTGGAAGACTTGTAAGGGTGTGTGAGGCAGTATTGAAAGACTTGTAAGGGTGTGTGAGGCAGTATTTGGAGATTTGTTAGTGTGTGTGAGGCTGTATTTGAAGACTTGTAAGGGTGTGAGGCAGCATTTGAAAACTTGTAAGGGTGTGTGAGGCAGTATTTTGAGACTTGTAAGGGTGTGTGAGGCAATATTTGAAGATTTGTAAGGGTGTGTGAGGCAGCATTTGAAGACTTGTAAGGGTGTGTGAGGCAGTATTTGAAGACTTGTAAGGGTGTGTGTGAGGCAGTATTTGAAGACTTGTAAGGTGTGTGTGAAGCTTGTAATGTGAAGACTTGTATTTGGAGACTTGTAAGGGTGTGTGAGGCAGTATTTGAAAACTTGTAAGGGTGTGTGAGGAAATATTTGAAGACTTGTAAGGGTGTGGTGTATTGAGGCAGCATTTTGAGACTTGTAGAGTCAGGGTGTGTGAGGCAGTATTTGGAGACTTGTAAGGGTGTGTGAGGCAGTGTGTGAGGCAGTATTTGAAGACTTGTAAGGGTGTGTGTCGCAGTATTTGAAGACTTGTAAGGGTGTGTGAGGAAATATTTGAAGACGGGTAAGGGTGGTGGGTGAGGCTGTATTTAAAGACTTGTAAGGGTGGGTGAGGCAGTATTTGAAGACTTGTAAGGGTGTGTGAGGACATATTTGAAGACGGGTAAGGGTGGTGGGTGAGGCTGTATTTAAAGACTTGTAAGGGTGGTTGGTGAGGCAGTATTTGAAGACGGGTAAGGGTAGGTGAGGCAGTATTGGAAGACGGGTAAGGGTGGTGGGTGAGGCAGTGTTTGAAGGCGGGTAAGGGTGGTGGGTGAGGCTGTATTTAGAGACGGGTAAGGGTAGGTTAGGCAGTATTTGAAGACGGGTAAGGGTAGGTGAGGCAGTATTTGAAGACGGGTAAGGGTGGTGGGTGAGGCTGTATTTGAAGACGTGTAAGATGGGTTAGGCTGTATTTTTCAAGAGATGGGGTATGGATTACTGGGGGAAATGATGTGTATGGATATTCATATTGAGACAAGAGGTTCACGATGGAGTTAGGTGTGAGACAGTATCAGGGGTAGGTGTATAGAGGGATGGAGAGGGTTCATCCAGTGTAACACCAGGGAAAGGTGTAAGAAGACGTTAGCATATATCAGTAGACTACCCAGCCGTATGACTGCCTTAGCCTTTTTATGTAGTTACAGTAGTCGGGGGAGCGTTAGAAAAAATCCAGCATCAGAGACATCAGTGTGAACAGGACATATACTTCCAGAACAGTTGACCAAACATATCTGTCCAAATATCTGTAAAATATAAAATCCAAGCTCCACAATAAGCTGAATGTGCTTTGGACTGATATTGGAGCTCTGTCAACTTAACCACTGGCTATTTGGATGAAACACACATACAACATGGCAGATAAAAGTAATGGATGCTCGAAGAATATCTATTTCACTTTCTTTCCTGTATCCAACATTTTTGCTTCATGCACATTTTCCCATGAGCAAGGCAGGTCGTTACAAAAGTAATTGTGATGACTCCAATGCTTCATGTTACAGGTATTGGCTTCGGACTGGCGTGCTCTCCATCTATAGTTGCTGTAGAGCGTTACTTCATCCATGGGCGATTCCAGGCGTTGAGCGTCGTGGTCGGTGGGGTGGGGGCAGGCATCATCACCTTCCCCATCATCATCAGACACATGCTGGACATGTTTGCGTGGAGGGGAACTCTCCTCCTCCTGGGCGGGGTGTCGCTCAACCTGTGCGTGTGTGGTGCCCTGCTCAAGCCTCTACCTGGGAAGAAGGAGGTGCGCCTCCTGCCCCTCCTGTCGTGCCTCCCCCTCCGACACCCTCTGTTTCATGGCATGTGCATCGCCAACCTCTTCTGGAGCTTCGGCTCCACCATCATCTACATGTATTTGCCATCCTATGCAATATCGCAAGGAACGGATTTCGAGAGCTCCACGTTCCTCGTGGCTTGTGTCGGCATGGCTAGCTTCACCAGCAGGATGATATTCGCATTTATGGGCCACAACAGCACGCTTGATGACGTGACGTCGGTGTTGTGCCCCGTAGGACTAGGCGTGGTTGTCACCGGCATCTGCCCACTATTGTTCAAAGACTTCACGGGTCAGATCGGGTACACGTTACTATTCGGCTTCTACAGCGGATATTGGACAACATTCCTCTCTCAAGCATCCCGGGAGCTTCTCGGCCCGGAATATATTGCCATGGGCAACGGGTACCTGTGTTTCATGATAGCCTTGGGCTGCCTTACCGGAGGACCAGCGGCAGGTACGACTATTAATCTCCCCATGTGTCTTCCTGTGTGGCTATGCGAACACGAGTTAAGGATTTTATACGTTGTGTGTAGATGCAGTGTCCCCCGTGGATTATTTACAGACCGCCACCATATAGCTAGAATATTGCTGAGTGCGGCGTTAAACAACCAACAAATAATAGTTCCAATGTCAGTTGTATACCCTTTGATAGGGTTGTTTTAGTCTGATCTTACCATGATATCTTTAGGGGTTTACGATGACTAAATTCGCGTCATGTTAACATAATGATGGGGAATGTGAATGGCATTTTGCACCACATGATCTGTGAATAAATTAAAAAATGAATGCTTTACGAAATCATGAACGCATATCAATCAGTAGTGTGGAGATGAGGCAAAGGTTCGTGTGATTTCCTCAGGAGGCGTTCTTGCCATATGACCTCGCCCTAAGCCCTATGTCCGTAGGAGATGTAGGAGACGAACAGTACAAATATATTGTAAAATTGGCATCTGGGATCATGGATGTCCTCACCGTTTTGTTTGTTTCAAAAATGTGAAAATTGGCTTTATTGTGCATTGTCCTATCAGAGACCCGTCGCGCAATGTCTTACAACCAACGCATAAGATTTGTTTTTTCTGACAAGCAGTATTCATGGTATGTCGTCATTGCTAAAAGTAGTTTAGCACGTTGTGATTTGCCATGGCAACAAGAAATACACGTTGCTGGTTGCCATGGTAACAAGACACTAAATGTAGTAGGTCATCATTGTAAAAATGGGTGCACGTGGTAGCTCGTCATGGAAGCGAGCAGTACACGGTTTAGGTCGTTATGGTACTTGGCTGTACACGTGGGTGGTCGTCATGGTGACCAGCGCTATACTAAAGTGAAAGGGGTGTGTGTGTAATGAATGGATCTCAGTATTTGTCAATGTTTGATGTCAAAGCAGGTGCACCCATGTCTGAAGATTATATATACTGACCCATCACTTGGCATGTTTTGTAGATTGACACTGATGTTTATCTGTGCAGGTTTGCTGATTCAGCTAGAAATGGAATACAAGTACGCCTTCTACCTAGCAGGTACAGTACCAGACCAACCCTGATTACCTCCACTTCACACACTGCCTTCACACACTGCCAGTCTTTCTCTGAAGATTGTTCATGGAAAATACATATGAAAATGAATATACTATGCAAAATAGATAGAAAAGAAAAACCCGGGTTTGAATTGGTCTTCAGCAACCCATGTTTGTCCTAACAGGCGAATAAGGGGATCGGGTGGTAAGGCTCGCTGGTTTGGGTGACACATGTCATCGTACCCCAATTGCGTAGATCGATGCTCATGCTGTTGATCACTGGATTGTCTGGTCCAGTCTCGATTATATAACCACATGGCTGGAATACTGTTTTACACGACAAACAAACACGAAACCAAACATAGCAAGGAAAAACGATTAAGTGGAATCAGGTTAGATACTGGTATTTGTATCACAACAGTCCACAACTAACTGGCTTCTTTCTCTCTTTTCTTCTTTTTTCTTATGTTTGTGTGTGTGTGTGTGTGTGTGTGCGTGCGTGCATGCGTGAGAAACAACCGACCGTCGGGTGTATAAAGCACAACTAACTGTAGTTCGTATGTAGAAACGCCCTGTCATATCTGTCTATGGCCGACTTGTTTGCATCTTGTTCTACTCACCCCAGGGGCGTGTCTGCTGTGGAGCTCTGTCATCATGGTGCTGTTCAAGATCAAGCGTTGTGTGGTGGCCAACAAGCCCCTCACTGACCACAAGGTGCCCCTCATGGAGGGCGAGGAGGACTACAAGGACACAGAGAAGACTCCGCCGGCGGCAGATGACATCGTTGTGTGGGTAGCACGAGATCTTTAAATATGTTCCCGACACCAGGGTCACCTTTGTCTTGTTCTCGGGATTGTTAGAACCTTATAAGATGACAGCTTGTTATTTATGTTCTTCATGTTTGACTGTGTTAGGATTGTTTAGCCATCCACGCCCGTTTCCCTCAATCAGTAATTGATCAGGCGGGTAAATAAATAAATAAATAATTATTCAACTTCATACATGTTTAAAGTAAAGCACATATGTAATCGATCTATTCGCTATAGTGCAGTAACGAATTTATGACCCATGTTTTTAAAAAGATCAATCTGACCTGGAACTTGTTTTTAACTTGGTAGGAGTATTTGTTAATTTTAATCTGTATTATTTATCACATCGGGGCCATAAATGTTCCATGGCAGTGGGAATAATTAACAATTAATTTAGGACCGGTGGGAGATGGGGAACGTCCAAACTACTACCACTTAAAGAATACGGGCAGCGCATGGGATAAGCTATTACTTGTGGACATGTGTACATAGGTTTGTAAGACTGAGATCTGTCTAGGCCACTGAGAGATCATGATGGTAGTAGCTCGTGGGATCTGGGCACACTATGCACACACCCTTCTCTCTCTATCTGCTACTTAGTATGGCGGGGGATGTCTCCCCTACTGATCTATTCCATGGGGTGACACATACATTGCCCTCCACTCTTTACTATGTATTTTAAAACTTCTTCAGTTTAATGCAATTTGTCCCTTCACAATGTCCAGAAATTCATGTTGTTCGAAATAACCTGCCCGCCAACTTGGTGCCTGAGTGGCCACTTGTATAACACATGACAAGCATCAGTGAAGATTTATGGAAATATTTCTATTTGGGGGAAATAGTAATCATCAAGCCGTATACTTTATGCCGAAACCGTATTCTGTCCCAAGAATGTAAGAGATAAGTCATTTTTGCCTGAAAGACGCTTTAAATAATCATTTATTATCAGAATTGTCACCTAAACAGTAAGATTTAAGCAATTTCTCTTCCTTCCAGACATGCTGTGGTAACCTCGGTATGAGTTAACATCAACAACATTACCAAATAGACTGTTCCGTTTGGAAAAAGGCTCCGAGTTAGAGACCGAATGGAAGGTGCCAAGTTTCTTTTGGTGATTGTGCCACGTGTGGAGACTCCTGGCTGTGCTGGCTGCAGCGGACTCTGTGTGGAGCTGCCGTCGACACTGCATGTATATGTGGCACAATCCAGATTATTTCTCAAGCCGTTTCAATGGCGACATTTTACATCTTTGTTCCTAGCCTACTCCACGCTGGATGGAGAATACACGTTTTTTCTTTACGCCGTGTTGAATACATGACGTAAATCACTATGCAAGCCGGTCTCTGGCCCCCTTGGCAGATGGGATTCGGCCAATGTAGATATGTGTGAGTGGATTTGGAACGAGGTTCAGTAGGTGCCATTTGTGTGGGTGTGACTGTCCATCTGCCTAGTTCATTGTCAGCTACGTGTCAAGAAATACAACTGGACCAATTATTATTATTATTTTGTTTAACATATTTACTTAATCTCTAAATGGGGCCGAGATGAAACGTGATTGTTGTTGTCTCTTTTTTAAAATGACAAGGGCAGTCCTGGGCCAACCACCATTGATATTACTTTGAATGCTTTCAGTAAAACTATGTATGTTATGTTGCCTTCAATGAAGCAAGCACTGGTTTGAAATACATACACATTGAGACACGATTTCCTAATATTCTGTTCAATTCGGCAAAGTTAAAACAAGAAACACGTTGGTCTGGCGTTTATGAGGTATGTTGGAAAGTGTGAAACTACAACCGGAGATTATTAACGATTTACCAATGGCATTGTTCCTACAGTATTCTGGTTCATATGGATATTTCTGTTGGAATCCATTGTTGATTATGACTTATGAGGACACATGTCTGTTGCTGTCTATAGTTGATTAAGACTTGTGTGAACAAATGTCTGTAGCAGTCTGTTGTTGATTTGTGTGGACAAAGTCAACACCGTTACCAGTCTGATGTTTTACACGACAGCATCTGCGTCGAGAAGACCCCTTGTCATTCCTGAATACCTGCCCTGCATCTGTTCAGTCTTGGTCAACCACTATATGCCTTTGTTATTTTTAGATATACTGTCTGCTCCACAACTAATCTATAACAATGATGAACTTTCATAAACCCTTGTCAATATTCCCCCAAGTTTGGGTGAACGCTGATGGATCTAATGTATACATTCATTTAAGAACGGGACTCTTATTGTCAATTTGGTTATCAAAGGGAGGTAATCAGTCCGTTTTTGTCAGGTACGTACGATCAGACATCAGACACTATGCACAAACAATGCAGGATAGCTGCGAGTTATCCACTTATTTATTATGATACGTCAATAGTTCATGTAAATACAATATACGATATTATAGACAAGCAGTTTTGTTTATACTTTAGATAGTGGCATATTTTTCATCTACTGTCTCGTCAAGTGTTGCATTCTCAAAGACATTTTTCAAGAAATAGTGGAACTTACATCGACCGCGGCCTTAACTAGAGCATACGTTCATGTATAAAGAGGGCGTACTTTTCAGTCACAAAATGCGATATTGCAGCAACAGAAAGATAATAATAGTGAGTTTACGTATGTCAACAATGTTACTTAGGATGACATGTTTGAAGTGTGCCCTGTTGATAAGTACCCGGATGTAGTAAGTGTTTGAACATGTAAAAGTAAAATGTGTTGCCAGCAGTGCACCAATGGTACAACGGCGCCATAGGTTCCAATAATGTCTCCCCACCGCCATAGTGTAATCCTCGGGACAGACTCGGATCCTTCCAAGCTGCTGTTTATAACGAGGCAGTCTGTGAGTGACAATCAAAGAAGTCTATCTTCAACAAACAGGTCGCATGGACATAGTTGTAAAGTGGGTCTTGAGGTACATCCCTTGCTGTTGCTTTCCACGCTCCCAACACCCACTGAATCTACTAACTGCGTACGGTCTCAAAGAACCGTATGTCCCAGTTTCAAAGTAGGGCCAGATAGTGCGGGACTGGTCAAGCATCAAGAGTATCCCGTCAGCACAATTCCTCAGGTCGCCGATATACATCTTGACTAGTTACAGGTCGCCGATATACATCTTGACTAGTTACAGGTCGCCACTATACATCTTGACTAGTTACAGGTCGCCGATATACGGCTTGACCATGTACAGGTTGCCGAGATGTTGATTGTCCATTTTCAGCCCGCCTAGGTATAGCTCGACTTACTACACGTTACTGAGGTACAGACTGACTGTGTACAGCTTGTCGACATAGTTTCACATATAAGAGGTTGCTGACAGGGAGCTCGACCACGAGGGGTCGATGAAAAATATAGCATGGCAGTGTGCGGTTGGCAAGAAATAGCTCGACTACGTACATTCTGCTAACATATTGCATGGTTATGTTCAGGTTGCCGAGGTACAGGTTGACTGTACACATATTGCCAGGATATAGCTCCGCCATATATGGATCGCCGACGTATTGGTTAATACTGTCTGCAGACACTGGAAGCAGATTCCGACATAGAGTACAGCTGGCTGTGCACACCGTATGCTCACCATCTCCTGTCCCCATCGTTCACAGTATACCAAATGTTGTCTATATATTAATAAGACTCAAGTGTGAAGTACTTATACCATGTAGTATTTTGTTGTGTTATCAGTCCATACAATTCCTGCGTCTGGTCCAGCCGGCTGTAGTTAGTCATGTTCTGATGTTCTGATGGTGGAAGATCTGAACACAGTCGATGGAGGCCTTTGAGGTCACGAGTTCAGTAGGGTAGATGAGGTAAGCCCAGAAACTGTTGCTGTGTAGATACTACAATGGAACTGGACGCGAGGAATTTACAATGGAAACAATTTATACTTGGGTAATGTAACGGATCGGTTTGGTATGTACGTCACTCTTAAAGAATGGTGTCTTCCTTCTTGCACGAATTCTCATTGTCACGCACGAGACACGTCGCGCGGGTAACGATGTCCATGTAGATGTAGGTCTTGTGACCCGGGCCACTCCGAGGTGACGGCCGCTGCTGGTATGCTGTAGTTAGGTGACTGAGATTCCGCTGTACATAGAGTGGTGGTGACGTGTATGAGTGTCAAGGGATATACGTGACTGTATATAGTTTCTTCATGTTTGAGATTATCTGTCATTTGGGACATTAATAAAACAAGTTGGTATTTGTCAATGAGTTGTTGTTGTTGTTTGGCGATATGAACACGGCAACGATCATGTGGACGGAATGGATTAGAAAAGTAAGACAAGGTGTAACATAACAAGCAAAAGAATATGTTGGCTTAGTCTGTCATACAGACCCTTGCAGCAAATATATCCAAGAAAGCCCTCGCAAATGTAGCAAGTCTAGATTTCCACAGCTTCTAAAAATGAAGAAAGTCTCGGGGCTCCTTTTCACTATATTTTATTTTTTTAAACCATGAGCTTTTTGCTGTAAAACATGTTCATTTCAGAGACTAGTTGTTAGCCTAATGTTGGCAGTGTTCTGACGGGTATAAACATCTAGAAACACGAATGTAATCAGTAAGTAAGCGTAAGCTCTTTCTAATGATCCAAAGACAGTAGATAGTGGTATTTCTGGGTGAAACTGAACAAAATGTTGGGTGTGGCATTTTTCATTGTGTGTGGAATAATAAAGGAAATTTCTGGCAGGTCAGTCTCTTCAGGAGCGTTTGGTATGATTGATATATTTCCTTATGTAAAGTCACTTTAAGTGACTTGGATACAAAGCTGTTTACAAATTTAATTTACAAAGTAATCCTGTCATCCCAGGTGAAATATCTGTTTTACAGGATATTGCAGTTGTCATAAATGGTTCCAAAAGATATTTATTATACATTGCTTTCTCCCAAAATAACATCAAATCACTGCTGAAATGGTAAAACGACACTGTCAAACTCCAAGTCTTGACTGGCCAAATGTTAATATCTAACCTTTCAAGACTACACAAGACACAAAATTACGATGGTTCTAATATAGACTGCTGCATAGAGTAATACCTACAAATGTATACTTATTCACAATAAGTAGGACAGAGAGTTCATTGTGCAGTTTTTGTAGTACAATATCTTATATCTTTTAGGAGTGTCATTTTTTGGAATAATTTACGTCAGTGAATACAAAAAAGCTGTGTTCATATTTGCAACATGACTTTGGGTGCATAACTAATTTTTGGGAATGTGGGAAAATATTGTCACTGATCGTGTTTTTTCTGTTAACGCTCTCTGTCTGTATTTATTAATGTAAATTTATAAAAAACTTGAAACCATCACAAAGGAATATTCAAAAACAGATATATAACAGAAAAGCATCTTTTTGTGGATAGACGGGAACAGAAGGAATTGCATACACAATGAGCATTCTGACACTGTTTGAAGCTTCCTAGTTAAACGTATTATTATGTGCCAGATCTTTAAAAAATTACTTTAAGATTGTACTAGCCCAGTCATATCTGTCTTTAATTGATATTACTAGATTATTGTTTTCCCCATCAATTTCCCCTTTGAATATAATATGAAAGGATGTATGAAAGGTGTAAAAACTTACAAGAGTCCCACGGTCAAACCTCTTCTATTTATAATATTAATCTCAGAACCTGTTCACAACTATTGTTAATCTCGAATATTAAATCTTTTACTATGAAGTATGTTGTTGTAACTATTGTATCAATATCATCATATGAGTTTATGAAGTCCAGCAGCAAGAGGCATGCATTTCCCCTGCATGTACAATGTATGTCTCATATCGTAGCAGGACTCAGGTCATAAATAATGCTAAGAATGAAAATAAAATATAATAATGACGCAAAGCGATTTATCCACAAGTCACTGAAGTATCAAAATCAAAGCTGAGCCGATACCCATGTGCATTTCTGGTGTGTTCGGGCACTAGGCTGGGGTCCTGAAACGGTTCTGTGTCTGGCAGTCATATTTCAGAGCTGATCTCTATTCTGACAAGCGGCCATGAACATAATAGTATTTGTGCGCCATTGTCTTTGAATTTCTTCAATTGATTTGCCAGCAAGACTTCGGTCTTCATGTTGGTTTTGAGAAATTTAGGGTCTTTTGAGCAGAACGGGTAATAGATACATGAACTGAAAGGTACCAGATATTTCGTAGAATTTATAATGCCTGATTATCTGATGGAAGATTGAATATTTGACTCCAGAAAGAAAGCAATAAAATATTGGCAATATTGGTATGATCTGTATGGAAGAAATGCCAACACTGTTAATTTGGTTAAAAAGCAGTTCAGTGGATAATTATTGTCCTAGTACAACACATGATGAGATAAGACCGGACCTCGCTGTACATGTCTGCATTTGCCATTTGAAATTTAAGGAGGTGTTTGACATCTGGTGTATGACACCCTCCACCCTTGTCCACATACCACCAGTGAACCTGCGGATACGTTCCCCAGGCAATCGCCGCCACCCCTCGAGCAATGCTGCCTCCAATTCACATACATTTTGTTCAGGAGGGACCTGCAAACTACGGCAAAGAATGCCCATGATGTGCTCCATGGGGTTCAGATCAGGTCTCCTTGCAGGCCAAGGGAGAGTCTCAGTGGCATTATTCTACAGGGAGAGTCACAGTGGCATTATTCTACAGGGAGAGTCACAGTGACATTATTCTACAGGGAGAGTCACAGTGACATTATTCTACAGGAACTCTACCACAGCACGGGAACGATGTGGCCTTATCTGAATATTGGGCGGGTGGCAAATGAGGCACAACGAATGCCTATGATGTAGCGCTGGCCATTGCGATTTTCCAGTGTCAACTGACAGCAATGGAAGACACACACCCACACCATAACTGAGCTTCCGCCTAGGGCAACCGTAGGATGATTGTTCCTCGGCAGTGTTTATGGTCTCAGACAACCATCCGTAACATCAATCAGGAACCTGCTATCTTTTGACCAATGGATTCGTCTCCAGGTGCGAAGATTCCAGCGCCGTCGAGCAAAACACCACTGCAGACGTTGTCTTTGATGTCCATATGTCTTGTTTGATCGCCTGATGACTCTTCGGGACGTCAAACCAAAAACCTTGAGACGGTTTCACTCTTTCTTAGTTGACAAACGGCTGTTGGGCACCCAGGCTTGACGTCAAATGTAACGGTCCAGATTGCGGTCTTCCGGGGTTGCTCTGGCCTTGGTCAATCTTTGACAGCGCCTGTTTGTTGGTGTTTCCGGGTAAGCCAGTAACCAAGTTGATGCCCGATGACCTTGAATGACATGCCAGCTGCATGTATAATTACCAGCTGCCATGTCAGGCCTAATGAAAATCTTCTCCTCGCCATGTTAACATTTATGGATGAAAACCGATAGCATATTCACAAGTATTATATCCTTGAACAGAATGCTTCACATGTATGTGGCCTGTGTTTTGTCAAACCCTTTCAAACTGAAACCGTGTTTTTTCATTACCTGAGATGTACTACTAAACCATAGCATCGTACACGTGATGAAATATGTTAGGGTCTTTTGTCAAATCAAGTTCTATGCGTATATATTGCATGTGTACATATTCCCGGCACATTATACTAAAAGGCCCCAAACCGCAGCTCGGTCAAATCTTTGTCCCCCCTACTATTACCTTGTCGCCCCTACTACTACCTTTTCGCCCCTTTGCCAAAATAAATGAAGAATATGAAGAACAGGTGATTTCACACTTTGTTTCCATTACGGAAATACGAGGCTTTGTATCAGTAACACTTTCAGAATGTAATAACTTTCTAAGTATTTCATTACAAGAAGAATCAAGTTCATAATCTGATTCCGAATGTTGCCAATTAGGTTTTTCTAAATTTTGTTCACCTATGATGGTGTTCCAGCAAACTGGCACCAAAGAGAAAGAGGAATGCTCCACTCCACTCCAGATCAGAGGATCGACCAGATTGGCGCCCGGGGTCAATTCTACTACCTGTCTAGTGTCTAATTAAAGTCAAAGGGTCAAAGTAGTGTGTTGGGAAAAACACGGCTATTACTGGCTTCAGTACCTCAACCACCAGACTCCGCTCCTCCACCGACACAGGGACGCTATCTCAGACATTTAGCAAAATTTTGCAAGACCTATACTTTCCCAGGGAGACTTCACGACTTTCGTCCACACTCGCCCGTTTTCCGTAACCTCCTAGAAGACCCGTCCCCCTCTCGATGTGCGAAAATACGACAAACCAACCTGAACGCACATAATGACTTTTTGAATAATCCCGAGTACTTAAATCGTTGATGTCATTATGCGATTGTTTAAAAATCATGAAAAATATATATTGACAGTACAAAAAACATAACTAACAGAATTGTGTTGTCTAATATCATGTGTTGGAGAAGAATTATGCCATGAACGGTGATAGATCCAAATACGCGCGTGCGTTTGTTTACATTACGTCTCTCACTGGTCCAACTGAGTGTTTTTCTTACGATCTTGTGGGCTTGAGTTTACGTCCCCCTTCCAACATGTTTAGGGCATTTAATTATACATCGCCACAAGTATCAAAACAGTACATTAATATATAACTAATCAACATTTAGGCTTATATTTCACATGTCTATGGATATTTCCTTCTGACGTTTCTCGAGTCTTTCATAATTTTTCATCGTAATCATTTTGAAATTCAAGCAGGGCTATGGTCGCAAAGTTACACGTATTTTCAGTTTGAGAAATATTTTAAAGTCATTTTTAGTATCTCTTTTAGGATTTCATGTTGGGCATTCAGTATCACTTTTAGGATTCCATGTTGCCCAATATAATATTATTGTACACTCAGTCAGATTTTTTTAATCTTCACAGCCATAAATTTGTAAAGAATGAATTGAAATTTGTTAAGTGACAGTTGTCATGAATATTGACGGTAAAGACGTTGTCAAAGACGACATGCCGCACATTAATGCCCACGTGCACCGATCCGTAGCACATGCTAACAACCTTTGGACCAAAAGTGTGTTTTCACGTGCCACTACGCACGGTAGAGTGACAAACCAGGAAAACGAGTTCAAACAAGAATACTGTGTCACGCGCTTGTCCGACTTTGAATGAAAACACGAAATTGTAAACAAAATAAATAAAGTTTATTATGAACAAAACCACTTCATGTATTCAATCTCAAATGCTCCCAACAACCACTCACCAACTTAAATCTGCACGTGCAAACACTATTCATTTAAGTA